GTGTGCTGTGCTGTATGCAGAGCCAGGGGGGCTGACCTCGGGGGTGGACCTCCGTGACATGCACGCTCTGCTGTCAGAGCTGGGCGAGCGAGGTCAGGGAACGGGAAGGAGGGAGAGACAGAGAGATGAGATAGATCAAGTTGGATGATTCCGTCCCTGTCTGTTCATCGCTACAGAAATCGAGAGCTGCTGCCGCCTGTCGATCGAGGACCGTCTTGAGAAGACGGACGAGTGGACGGAGCGCGGTGAGAAAGGCGACTACTTATCAGTACACACGGAGAGACACGGAGAGAGACAGAGACTTGAAGGACGCACGAAGTTGTTTTCCTTGTTCCTGCCTGTTCATCGCAGCACTCACCACGCACAGCCTCGAGCTGTGGATCGACGAGGGGATCGACGACGACGCCAGGGGTGATGGCATGACAGATGAACAGTGATGGGCTGAGTAGGGCAAGGAACAATGCATCCAATCATGTGGCCAATAATGTGGTGTTCTCTTTGCCTGCAGCTTCACAGCACCCGCCCAAGGCCACCCCCACGCCGGCACGACTTCTGCCCCCGCACCGCCGCTCGAAGGAGGACGACGACATCACCACCAAGACATACCGCCGCGAGGAAGGGAATGGAGGCAGAGAGAGAGAGAGAGAGAGAGGGAGAGATGAAGTAGACTTGGATGGATGGTTCTGTCTTTGTTAGTTCCTACAGACATCGAGAAGGGCTGCGGCCAATACGGCATCGACGACATGCCCGAGGAGACGGAGGAGTGGGTGAAGCGGGGTGAGAGAGAGACGGACATATGTCTGCTCACACGAAGAGAGACAGACTTGGATGATGGACGGGCGCACAAAGCCGTCTTCTTTGTTTCTACCTGTTCGATACAGACATGCTGAGGAGCATCGGGGCGTGGATCGATGAGGGGGTCGACGAGAAGGAGGAAGGTAAGGAGAGTGACACTCACTGAGTCACTGCCGCCCGTCTTCCTTGTTTCTGCCTGTTCGTTACAGCGCTCACCAGCAGCATCGGGCCGTGGCTGGAATCCGATTCGCCGCTCGACGAGGAGGAGGGTGAGGAGAGTGACACTCGCTGGCGGTGCGTGTAGTAGTTCACCGCTGTATGTATGTGTTGATTGACTGTGTCTGTGCTGTGCTGTATGCAGAGCCTGTCAAGCCCCCACCCAAGAGCAGCCCCACGCCAGCCAGAGTGCTGTCCCCCCTCCGACGC